GTTGACCAACTTCAGGCTCTTCCAGATCTGCCTTGGCTCCTCTGTAGGGGACTGTCAGTCATGCTCGTTCCTCAGCAAAGCTCTTCCACCACTGTTTTTTCCTCCACCCTCTTCTCTTCTATTGACTCATCTCTTGGTAGTATCGTTTTCATTTTCTTAATCGTTACTTTAATTTTTATGTTCATTTTGATCTTGATTTTCTTGATGCCGTTGTTTAAAATGCCAAGAGACTCATAAAATGTGTCCTCTCTTGAAGATGCTCAAGAGCATTATGAGAATAGAACTTCCTCAGAATTTTTAAGCACTTTAACATGGAAGCATGATGACATCTTAAGATTCCATACCGCATTCAATACCACATACCTCTAGCTGTCTGAGCATTTCTCATACCACACCCTTTCTGAAGGGTTCCTGCCTCAGTGAGTCTTAAAACTAACCTTTATTTGTTCATTATTTTTCACTGCATTTTATTAAAAAGTGCTTCACTGTACTGAAAAAAGACGACAAGAACTTGATTTAGGAGTAAACAAGCAGTTACCATGGAGACGGAACCATATTAGAACTGGACATTTAATTCTTATTTTATCAATTTTCTTCATCAGTTAATGCTGAATATTGATTACTTTATGTTTTATCACATTGCGAATAAAACAACTGACAATATATACGTCTTATACTAACTGATTATTGTGAGTCACTGTAATACATTGAATGGTTTAAAAACATTTTACTGTATATAGTTACGGAATTCCATCTGTCCTGTATTTTCATACATGTATAGACACTTCATACATACATTTGTTCTGAATTGGGAAAACATGGTGGTATTACATGGTAATACATAAAAGAATTTACATTTACTGTATGTATCTGACAATCAAAATAAGAAAAAAAAGAGACATTTTTGGCCATCCTGCTAACTGTCAACACTGTGCTTACTTCATTTTAAAAATTGGCATCTTCAAATTACTAATTTCAAAGTTTCCGATAATGTGATGAGTCGACACTAATCAACGTATTTATGTTAGGCCCATCAGACAATTGATTTGATTGTGATTAATCGCATAAACATAGCGATTAATCCACAATAAATGAATTAACAAGGTAATAAGCTAAATTAATGAATAACATGTAAATCAGTAATAATAATTCATTATAGTAATAATCCATAAACTAAATTGCGCATGAAGATGGTAGTTGACGTCACTAACAATGAGTAATAACTTAATGAACCAAGATCACTACAAAGAAAACACAGATGCTTGTTGTCGGCTCACCACTGCCAAACCCCAAACATTAACATTAACCTTGTGATGAACATATTATTCATTTCCAAGAAAAATATAACTTGAATGCAAGTACAAGCTGAATTTCAATACTTTTAAAAAGGGTAGATGGGCAGATAACAATAAGGAAGAGACCATTGTGTGGGATGGGATAGTAGTAATGAGATAGTAGGGATGACAAACGGTTAATCGCACACCTTCACACTCTAACCCCAATTAAACTATTGATCTCCTATGCCAACTTGAAAAATGTTAGTGGACCTTATCTTTGTATGACAAAATTTGGGGAACCCTACCATATCCAATCGTGTAAATCTAAAACCTATTTGGCAAATTGGTTTTAAAGACAGAAGCCTGACAATCATTGATAGTGTGCAAAATAACAGGAAATATCCTCTTTTCAAGGTATTATCCTTCAATAAAATAAAAAATACATATTGCAAATTACAATATTGTTACAATATTGTCAAGCTTCCACCTAGCAATTATTTAAAACGAAATCAACCAAATAGCAGTGTTTTCTCTCATTCCTCGCAATCAGTTTTCCCATGGGACTGACACTTTTGATTTTAGCTGTGAATTCTGGGTTTCTGTGCAACATCACAGTCAAAACTCTCATATTGTTTACAACCAGAAAGGAGTATTATAGGTCTCTATTAAAAATCCTTGCTCATATTATTCTCCAATAATACCACGTGCATTAACACTTTAAAAAATAACGTGCTATGACTTCAAAATTAACACTATGCATAAATTAATTAACTTTCCCAGACCTCAGTGATGTAGATCAATTACATCGACACATGGTTCCAGCACTAGATTCATTATACGGTAGAGCAGGGGTTCTCCAGATGCGGACCGAACTGCAAGTTAATCTGGACCCAGCTGATAATGCCCCTTATGAATCAATACGGTTAACATAAAAAGGCTTAACGTGGTTTGAAGTACAAAAATGATAAGCGAGCAAAAAAAACTTCCCATTACTGTTATATATTGATGTCTATATGGAAAGTTATTGTCAATTCATTAAAGTTCATGAAATGCTACTTTGTTATTGAAAATTGTTCCAGACTTATGACTTAAAAAAATCTGATGTGGATCTTTGATCAAAAACAACTCTGCTGTAGGGTGACCCTCTGCCTTTCAGTCCTAATGATCGGACTATATAATGTTACACCAATGTTGGTCTAACTTCAGCCATGGCCAATCTCACCTGAATGACCCAACCTACACTGATAGTCATCCCCAGAATTCTGCACAGTTGAAGCTTATTTCACCTGAATACTTTTTGGTTTTAAGCCAGCAATTTCACTGCCTCTGTGGGAAGTATTGAGTGCCTGCACATTACCGAACATTTTGGACAACCTCCATTATTGAATTGTGTATGACCCATGTTTCTGATTCTCCAGACCTCAGAATGTCACCTGTGTCTTTTCCTGGTTTTGGCTGCCTTGTGGATTTATTCCTTACTACTGACCTTCTTCCTGTACCTGTGTTTGCCCCTTGGATCACGTGCTTCTCCGGTTCTGACTGTGCCCCTATCTGACAACAATCTTTGCTTTTATACTGTATTAAACAACCACCTCTTCACTTGGACCTCCTCAGTGTCATTATATAATCCTTGCTTCTCCTACTGTGTACTGATAATTTTGCAATAGCATATCTTGCAAGCAGACAGAAATTCACTCTCTCAAATCAGATAAATAAAACAAAAATCAAGCCAAATAAAAATCTGCCCATCAAAAGCACCAGGCTTATAACCTGTTATTTGCAAAAGTGATTCTGGGATTGAACCCAGAGACCATGCCAACGCTCACTGACACAATCATTGTGGCACAGATGACAGATAATTAAACATCCTGGTGTAACTGCAATAGTAAATTTTGAAACTAACAACGAGTGACAAATTCACCCTTCACTGTTCTTATAAAGCTTGACAAGGAAATTCCTTCCTGTTTCCCCCAGAAGCAAAATCAACCCTAGAGAGACTTGGGGTGGGCACATACACACACACTGAACTATCCTCCTAAATTGATCTTGACAAATGAATATTGCTTTTAATGTATCATTTTAGACACTCTTTAAATACTTTTTAAATACAGAGTTACAGTCAGCCCAGTACCTTTCCCAAGAAGGAGAAGACATGAGACAGGGCATACCATTAAGCAGTTCCTGCCTAAAATATACATCTGATTCTTATTTTGGCTGCCTTCTAATATGAAAACTGGTTCCCTAAACTGAAATACAATGATAAAACAAAAATGTAGAGTGAGAGGCTGCAGAGAGATCTCCCTTGGTGACATTTTGCTCAACTTCAGTGTTATTGGTCCAGATCTACTGCCTTGTTATGACATAACTCAAAAAGGACAGAAGAGGACAAATTTCTCTGGCTTTTATAGAATGAAGCATCTGGCATTTTTTTTAAGATATACATTTAAATTGATTTTCCTGCTACTTCCTTATTCTAGATGGTGTTATATAAGATGTTTGCTTAAAGGCATTTTAGAGAAAACAATGACAAATTTAATGCCATCAAAGTGGTTGAGGAACTCAAAATGCATAAAAGTATTTGAAAGCAATACTTCCAAAGACATCTGGGTAAACATCAGAGTCACATGCATTCCATCAGTACTTATGCGCTACAGGGTCATGCCTGCCCCAGAAAGCATATGGCACACCTTGGATGGGACCTCAATCGACTCTCGACACTCCACATGCTGGAAGTGGAAATCGAACACCCAGCCCTGGCAGTGCTACCTGTTAGTGCCCAATGCAAACACCCCAGAGCAGTCAGGAGTTCAAAGTCTTCGGCCCAGATGAAATTCCACGAGCTTACATTATGACACTTGAGAACAGACAGGTTAAAAGAGGTTAACGCTCTATTGAACTCGATCAGCAAGACAGACAGTTATAAAATACGTCGTAAATAGAGCGTTGCTAATTGAATTTGAACACTGCCATCAATGTGCTGATAGACACCATCTCAGGAGCCATATCTGGATGCAGACATGTAGATGGGCAGTCAAGCTTTAACATTATGGATTTCCTGTTTTAAGGCTGCATCATAAAATTAGGTCATCAGGAACATGATGGCTCCCTGAGGCTTTCCAGATACATGCAGATTATTCCCTTCCACAGATACTGAGACCCTGGAACCAAATTGGACATGAAGACACACTGTGTAACTCCTCTGAGTTACACACATCACCATAAATATTGAATGCAATCTACTTCCAGCAGAACACTGTTTGCCCCAGTGCTCATACCCAAATAGCAGTCTATGGTTTCCGTTCTGTGGTGCTACTTTTGCTCTGCTTCCAGCCCAGAATAAAATACCTGTTCCCTCCCCACACCCCAATGTCACATGACTATACTAGGCCTGCACAATGTGCGACATTAATAATGACATGGCATTTCATGCACATACAACTGTCACATAGTAAGGACCATGATACTCTGCTGGGTTCACTTCAGGCCATAAGTTGTTCTAAAACATTGTAGATCAGTCATATGAAACAACATTTAGAAAGGTTTGCAATCTTAATGATGGGTCATCTTTTCAACATCATCTAAAATATGTAAAACACACACACACACACACACACACACACATATATATATATATATATATATATATATATATATATAATATATCAGTTACCGCTGTTGCATGAGCTCTCCATGCATTGTGAGACAATCAGTTATTCTCCTCCTTGCTGTTTGAATCACTCACAGACCGTGCGGCATGTTTGTGAGTAAATAAAAATGAGTGAAAAGGACAAAAACAAACAAGAACTGGTCATGAAGACATGACATTCATCTTCCGTTGAATGGAAATATTTCGTAATACATAGAGAAGATCTTGAGCAAAAGCAAGTGATTTGTCGGCACAAATCAACTCTTAAATATCACAAAAAATTTAAATATCACAAAAACTTTAAAGACTTCCAATACTGTTCAGCCCTACTCAAAACACATAATAAGCTCACAAAAATATGATATGGTTATATACCATATTATGTAAGATGATACAGCCGAGTGATGGGGCCATAACCTTTGTTTCAGCAGCAACTATTCAGACACAGAGAAAGTAAATTAAGCAAAATGATTTAAGTCAAAGTGATGACAAAGTCAGGCTAGGCTACTCAAAGAGGCTAAATACAGTACCACATATCCATGATTAATCTCACATTATTTTGTTGGCAACCCATTCAATAAGGGTGATCCAACGAAATCCGAAGTAAAGTCCACAGTAAAAGTAAAATTCAGTCCATGGGAAATCCCAACAGTAAAAATCCACAGAGAATTAAGAACCAATAGGAAGAATGCCAGGTGGAGTGTTTCTTCAACAATGAATACAATAACTTGTCCATCTTTTTTCTCAGCGAAATGCTGTTAGATACAAGGTGCGCTTTTGATTTCCTTTTAGACGTGCTTTGAGCTCCTTTTAAACGGAGAGCTCCATCTAGTGGGGTCAGAAAATGGAGCAAATTGTTACAGAAGCGTCATTTTGGCCATCACTATTGGTTAGCCAGTGTTTGTCACGTTCTGGGCGATAACGAAAAGTTTATAACTACGAATAACTGGAACAAACTGGAATAAAAATCACCCTTTTAACTGGAAAGAAACAATGGTTTGACATTTATCGTGATAATTATCGATATCGACTGATATGGATTTTTTTTTATCGTTATAACATTTTTAGCCATATCACCCAGCTTTAGAGAGGAGGATAAAAGCGAATAAGAGCTGGTCACCAAAAGACATTTGTGTTCTATTCTATTCTATTCTATTCTACCAAAATTATTCTAAATCCATTTAAGCAATTTCATCCATTATTTCCTGCTGACTGAGCCCCCATAAGGGTCAAATCCTATGATCACTCATGTTTGACAGACTCTGTTGGTAGATAGGTTAGTTTTATTTGGCTATAGTTTATTTTGGGAAATTTTCAAGCTTATTTTGTTTTTTAAACATTGCAATATTTATAGGAAAAATTTTAAATATCACGATGTGAATCCTTTTCAGTATCATGCAGCTCTACTCTGTACGCACCCCACATGGAGAATATGAATCCAACATTCTGTTCAATCACTTCAGCTTGATTTCTTTCATTAAATGGTTATGAAAGATTAATTCATGTTTAACGAAATCAATGGTTTCTTTAATACTGAAGAATTCCTCTAGAGTGCATGCATGGTCAGAGTCTCGTTGCTGCACACAGAGCAGTAACTGTAAAAGGTACATTGTTATAGCAAATCGTAAACCCATGTCTCATCACAAAATCAGATCTTCTTCATAATCACATAAACCACAGATCACTCATCGAGCAAAGCAGCTTTGCCAAATGGCATGGTTCTCTCTCCACTTAAAGACTGCCTAGAATCAAGCATGTGATAAAGCTAATGCTCCTTGGGGTAAACAAGACAACACAGCCGCAGAGGGACAGGAAATGTGCACAGCCTCACACCTGTGCCAGGGTTTAGGGCTACAAGGACCAATGCATTATCAGGCTAACACCCATGGTTTATAAATCAAATAAGTTAATTATTGTAGTTCCTTTGAAATGAATGCAGCCAAGTCATAAGAAGCTGGATACCACTTATCGAACCTCCTCAGGAAAGTTGGGAAAAACAATAAGACCCACTTTGCCTACAGCTACTAAGAGAATGGTTTCTGCAGCTCACTTATAACCTCTACCTTTACCTACAATACGCTGTGACCAAAAAATACAGAGAGTGAGTCTAAAACGTGGTGCATACACACTAAATATTTACAATGTCTCCAGACGGATGCTGATTTCCAGAAATAGGCGGGAAAAGTTGCATTTATTGCATATAAACCGCATTCAGCAGGACATCAGTCAGTCAGGGCCATGGAAGAGACAAGGATGGCGGGATAGGGACCCAGGGGAGCATTTCCGTGTGGAGGGAGACAAAGGCACCAAATGAGAGAATAATTACCAAACAACAACTAACAAAGACAAAATGAATGCCACAGCAGCAATAAGTGTCAGTCCCAGAGGGCAGGACCCATTGATGAGCAGGGCTCCACCCACTCCAGGAGGGAGGGGCATTTCAAGCCAAAATGAGTTAAAAGAAAGCAGATGGTATGTCTGGGACCCTCAGAAAACCATTTAGGAAGGAATAATTGTGAGGCACCGGCACCCAAAGATGCAGTGGTTTCCGTTTCAGGTGGGAGAATTAATTGTGAGGGACAATGTACGTTTAATGAGGAATGTAGATGGAAGGGCTATGACCAGAGAAAGGATGGCACCAGGACGATACTTGAAAGATGCATTTGGAAACAGGGAATTCAGCTGTGTGTTACTCAACGAAGACCACTCTTCAGAATTTGAAAGAAGTAAACATTCGTAAAGGATAATTAACACAAATAGTCACAATACCCACAAAAGCCTTCACATCGATTGTACGGGCTCATTGGAGTGGAGCTCCTCATCAGTTAGGGTATGCTGAGCTGTTGATTGGATGAAGTGCATCATCATGCCCAAATTAGCAAATGTTCTACTTAAAAGTCTTGCTATATTTCATGTCAGAAAAATCAATTAGAATCAGTCACAGAATAGTTTTGTTACTTGTGTAGCACAAGTACTCAATTCCTTTTCCTCCTTCAAAGCTAATTTATGTTTGGTATTTTAAAAAAGGCTAAATGAAATGACGATCCCACAAAACCACCTGCAACAGCTCTGCATCTGCACCATCACAGATATTTTTGGCCAAAACCCACAGTGTGACAGTTTAATGTTATTTTACGCAAGCAGTTCATGAGCCCAACAGCTGAAGAAAAGCTAATTAAATTAAGTACTCGGCTGCTAGCATCACCCAAGATTGAATCTCAACTCCAAATGAAATGGAAGGGAAAATACGACCCACCTTCTGAAGAGCTGCAGTCCACCTGCTGGAAGCGTGGCTCGTGCTGCACACACCACTCTCCCTGAAATAAAACATCATTTACATGCTGACAAACAGCTTCATTCATCCTATTCAGACAGGCCCGTAACTAACAGAATAGTTCATAAGAACTTGTTTGTTGTGTTTATTCACATTAATTTGATTAACACCACTACTTGTAAAGTTACCAGTGGCTAGTTATGTGCAGTTAATCACAGCCATCCCCCATGGGACACCAACAGCTGGTCATGAAATCAGCTTATTACTCCAAATTAGCATCTGTCAACCTCCCTCTTGCTCTGACCCTGCACAGAAGCCATGGGCTAACTGTCCTGGGAAGCAGCCAGCCACAGAACCGAGACACTCTGGACATACAAATGGAGACCTCAGCCTTCACTCCTGCACAGACCAGCACCAGCTCTGTTTTCAGGTCCCGATGGCTGACAGCCCTGGCTCATTTCTCTGCTGGGAAGCAGAGATGGACCAACGCCACTCTGCATCCATGGCATGATGTCATATATACTGGGACCCTCCAGTGTAATCAACTATTCCACCTGCATTCCTGACTGGTAGGGTGGGAAAAAGAGAATGAAAAATGAGCTGGTTGTAAGGAGCCAAAGAGGTGGAGTAGGATCACCATGGTGAAAAGTAGGGGTGAAACGGTACACGGAAATCACAGTTCGGTACTGTACGTACCTTGGTTTTGAAGTCACGGTTCGGTACGTTTTTGGTACAGCGGGGGTAAAAGAAACAAAACATGAATTGCTTCTTTTTTTCTCTATTAAACAACAAAGTATTACTGTCTTAAATAAAAAGTTGCTGTCAATACTGCTGCAACCTACTAATAAAACACTAAAGTTTACATAAAAGCAAATCAAAATAAATATTCTCTCAAGTAAATAAAAATAAAATAAATACACATTTAGAAAATTAACTGTACCTGATCTGTACTGTATTCACATTAGCAGCTTTCAGCTTCATATTAGAGCTGTGCAACACAAATATTGCCTAAAAAAATACAAAGCATAACAAAATAAATATACATTATGATGCAGCATTTTAAAAAATACCTGTGCTGTACTTGAATTCATACTAATAGTCTCCAGTTCACATTAGTATGTACACGCACATGCCTAGTGGTGTGGCTTCATCCGCCCCTTTCCAAATGTTGCTCGGAGGACAGAACCAAAAGATCCGTACCGAAGATTTTTGGTACGAGTACATGTACCGTTACACGGCAAGTGAGAAGCTACCAACATGTGTACAAGCAAAGGTTTAGCTTCTCATACTTTCATCCTAAAAGAAGGGCCTTTAACACCATGCGAGTCAGTCGCTGATGAGGGTGAGGAACTGTCAACGATGCCCATCATGAGGGAGCCATTCTATATCTGCATTGCCACAATTGCAAGATGAAAGTCTCTCTCTCTTTCACAACTTGTACTCATCTGCAGCACCAACTACTCTCCCTCCTTCCTCAGAACCCAAACCAAGACACCACTTCCCTGGCCAGTGGCTATGAGGCACTGCAACCCATCGACATTCTGTTGAGAGTGTCGGCAGGCCATAGAATCAGCAGTGCCTGGACATGCCTTTGAGCATAGGTAGGCTCCAGGGCGGCTTTGCACAAGGATACCCAGCAAGCCAGGCATGTCCTGGCCCACCCAGCTACAGATCATCTCCTACCTTCTCATTCATCATTTGGACTTCTGACCAGCAATGTACCACTGAGGTACCCTGAGCAAGGCACCGCCACCAAGCACTGCTCCCCAGGCTCTGAATTAGCTGCCCCCTGCTATGTCACATTGTCACATATGGGTTAAATGCAGATAACACATTTCCTTGTTGTGCACTCTGTGTCAACAATGACAATTAATTACTAAATTCTAAATCCCCTGTGACAATGCTAACTATAGCAGAGCAGGTCAGGAATTGGATGTGGATGACATTTCACAAGGTTGCATAACCAGGCTTGTATAGTCTCTCAATATTTCTAGGGAATCCCTAACAGTCCCCGCTTCCTTTGTGTCCTTGTATGCCATGACCCCAGATGGAGACCAGCAGTGGTGATCCATACTACACAGTCACCTCCACACTCAAATTCACCTCAGATTCACCCGCTTCTTCCTGGAGAGATGCAGTAGGGGGGCCTGTAGCTTGTCACATACAGAGCTTAATGAGACAAGACACAAACGCAGGTCACCCACATTTGTCATCCTCCTTGGTTTTCCAAAATAAACTCTTACAATCAGGGAACAACCTTCTTAGTAAGTGGCAAGTGGGGGAAACACTCAGTACCAAGGCCCACCAAACTGCAGTCATCCATGGACCTTTTTGTTCTTTCCTGTGCTAAGTATTTGCCTTCTAAAAGGCAGATGCTCTTACTATTCATTAGATCTGTACCCCCCACGGCAAACTACCACACAAAGCCATAAAAGCTATTAATCTCTGCTGAATCAGATCAAAATGAAAACATGGCAGCATAAAAGAAGAAACACATTAACACCTAGACCCTATTGCAATGGCTTAAATATCAACTCTCAATATATGATAACAGGACATGCAATTAAATTTTAATTTCCTGCTAGTGAGTCTCAGGAGTATAATCCATCCGAGCCATCCGTCATCCATTCATTCATCTTTCAGGATCTGCTTGCGACACGGGCCCCATCCTGTTGAGGAACAGGAACCTGGGACAGCAGGTCAAACCGCTGCACCTCTAGTGAAGCTCACTTGTTTCCACATATGATTATAGTGAATCAGGGCATCAGCCTAATAAGACAGGTGTGCCACAAACCCCAAACAGCATCACTGCTAAAACTGAGTGACATTTTTAATTTTCAATTTCTCTTCTCCAGCTTCACATTCCCTGCCAACCACAGAACTACCAAGCACCCATTGAGAGTAATTTTATGACATTTAAAAAGAAATTAATTGCTATTAAACTTTTGCATGCGAAATCAAAGCTCACATTCTTCATACAAATTCAATAATGAAATATCAAAAGACATTTGGTACAGTGTAGCTAAAAACTGAAGCAATACTGAACCTGTGTGAGTGGTATTGTTGGAATGATTTTAAAAACAAGTTGATCAACTTATAGTCATATAACTGAGTGCACCGCTCCTAGTGGCAGAGGAAGACTTTTAAAAGTTTGTAAACATTACGTAGTAACCCTGTTTGCCCTCCCCTCTTATGCACAGTGCTCATTATTTAGTGCTCAATAGAGCTGCTGTTCTATGAAAATGCCCCAAGACAATAATTGAGTACATTAATATAAAATCAGTTTTACTTCTAGTAACTGCATAAAAAGCTTAGAACTCAATATTCTCCCTAGCTTGCTTTAAGATGCATCGTCTTGTTAAGCAAAAATACTACATGTCTTCACTGGAAGGTGCAGTCTTAGCCGTGACAGTAATCTTCTCGTCCATCCTCCTTAACGTCAGCCTAGCTATAGGAGCAGGGCCATCCTTCCTATTAAACCCCTGTAATGTGCTGAAAGCGGCTTTTCCCAGGGCCGGCATGCCTATTCCACTTAACTAACTCTAAGTTTTCGTGGTACATTTGCATCCACAAAGCAATGTAAGTTTCCCTAACTTAATTCAATTTGCACCCATAATACTAAAACTTAATGATGCCGAATAAATCAGTATTTTGCCTAATTTATCACTGTCATGAAGTGTACGGGTACAATTAATTTACAAATAAAGTCTAAATTAAATATTAAATCATATAAAACTTTAATATCCTACCCATTCTCTGGATTATGCAAGCACTCCTTGTGTCATGCAGGTTACTTTCGGTACATCCCGGTCACCTCACAATGTCAAACATGCACTGGAGGGAACTTATGTGACTGATGGACTAGCATGCCATCCAGAGTGTCCCCAGCCTTATGCCTTATACAGATTGGGACAGATGTATGGAGAAATGGATACTTTTTTACTTGATGCTGTCGGAACAACAAAATATTCCCCGGAGATAAGTCCATTTCTGAAATTTCTTCGCTACTAAACACTCCATGGTCAACTGTTAGTGGTATTATACCAACTGGAAGCAATTGAGAACAACAGCAACTCAGCCATGAAGTGGTAGGCCACGTAAAATCACAAAGTGAGGACAACGCATGCTGAGGTGCACAGTATACAGAAGTCACCAACTATCTGCAAAGTCAATAGCTACAGACCTCCAAACTTTGTGTGGCCTTCAGATTAGCTCAAGAACAGTATGTAGAGAACTTAATGGAATGGATTTCCATGGCCGAGTAGCTGCGTCCAATGCAAAACGTTGGATCCAGTGGTGTAAAGCACGCCACAACTGGACTCGAGTAGTGGAGACATGTTCTCTGGAGTGACGAATCATGCATCTCTGTCTGGCAATCCAATTGGATGAGTCGGGGTTTGGTGGTTCCCAAGAGAAGTGTACTTGCCTGACTGCATTGTGCCAAGTGTAAAGTTTCGTGGAGAGGGCGTTATGGTGTGGGGTTGTTTTTCAGGAGTTGGGCTTGGCCCCTTAGTTCCACTGAAAGGAACTCGTAATGCTGCAGCATTCAAAGCCATTTTGAACAATTTCATGCTCCCAACTTTTTGAAAACAGTTTGGGGATGGCCCCTTTCTGTTCCAACATGGATGCGCTCCAGTGCACAAAGCAAGGTCCATAAGGACATGGATGAGCAACTTGACTGGCCTGCACAGAGTCCTGACCTCAACCCGATAGAACACCTTTAGGATGAATTAGAGAACGGACTGTGAGCCAGGCTTTCTTGTCTAACATCAGTGCCTGACCTCACAAATGTGCTCCTGGAATAAGAAGAAGAGTTGAAGCTGTTATAGCTGCAAAGGGTGGGCCAACTTCATATTAAAGCCTATGTGTTAAGAATGGGATGTCATTAAAGTTCATGTGTGTGTAAAGGCAGGTGTCCCAATACTTTTAGCAATATAGTGAATCTCCGGAGGCAGCAGATTAATCTGATTAAAAATTTTAATCGTTTGACAGCACTAATATATATATATGAAGAGTTCAGATGCAAAAGCCGCTAAATGCCACCTCCGTTAAAAATGAGATAACAGTGCTCTCCACATGTAGTATACGTAAATCGAATAATCTCTGCCTCTTCTGAAATAGGCGTGGGCGATATGACGATATGAGATCGTGAAGACGATCTATGTGTTGACGATCTGTGAAAGCAGAGAGATCGTAGAATCGTCTATATAGATTGCATTCTATCTGTCTATTGCGGCTCTATGCTCTTCCTAAATTTTTTACTCAGCCAAAGCGCACTATTTGCTAGACCGCTTAATGCCCGCCTTATAGAAACAGCGCTCAGCCAACCAAAGTGCTCCCCCACTCTCTTTGATTCTGAGTATAGCGGGAACAATGACTGAAAGTGAGAATGTAATGGATGAGTTGGTCCCTAAAAAAACTCTACATAGGTGACATTGAAGTGATTTGGCTTTTACCCAAACGATAAGGAACAAACAGTCGTTATTTGCAAAGTCTGCAGAGAAAAGGTTCGCGCATCGGATGGCAACACGACGAACCTTTTCAATCACTTAAAGAGACAACATCCGAAACAGTATGCCGAGAATATAGAAGCTAGGAGAGCAGTCACACCACAGGCAGCAGAGGCAACAGTTACCAAACCAAAACAAACCACTCTGACACAAGCTTTTGAGAAAGGCGCTCCATATGACAGGACAAGCATTTTACCTCAGAAAAGATATGGTTCCCATCAAAACTGTAGAAAAGGGGTTTAAAAGTCTGCCGAAAGTAATTGATCCGCGATATGTGCTGCCCAGCCAAAAATATTTCTCCAGCACTGCCATTCCACGTCTGTACTCCGAATGCCGTGAAAAAATGGGACACGAGGTTCAGAGGTATTGTCATGTCATGTTAAAATGACAATGTTGAATAATTCAGCAATAGTTTAAGAATTGCATTAGCCCATAACAGGAGCTGCCATTTTTATTGTTTACCATTTGTAAGTTTTTGTTCTTGTTGATATTGTGTTC